TGACACTTTTCAGGCAATCTGGTGAGATGTAACAGACAAACGACCTGTTTACTTTCTCATGCATTGCATGGTCATAATCACTGACCCATGGTGCCTCCAGGTTACAGTCGCCGGGTATAGACCATAACTGTTTCCAGAACCTTTCATTGGCGTTTATCATGTTCACCATCACCATTTGTTTTAAGTTGCCTGTAGAAGTGTTTTTCATTATTTCTAAAGAGTTTTTTTTGTTTGATAAATTTATTTTTATTTTCCCATTTTGTCTTTCTTTCAGTCCAAACTCTTATTTTTGCCTTAAGGGAATCGACAATTTGGAGAAGTACCTTTTCTTTTGTTGTCTTGTACTGCAATTTTAATTTTCTCCAAATTGTCTTTTGCCGTTTTGACATTGGACTCCCTGATGATCTTAGTTTCAGGCACAGCTCTATCCAGGAAATGAATTTTCTCGTTTCCGTTAGTTTTACTTGAAACCGGTTTTTCTTTGGTGTATTGTTTTTAGTATTAGATGTTTTTTCTTTGGAAACTGTGTTAATTTCCTCCAAGGTTCGAGCGGCAGCTTAGACACAACAATTAACTTCATGTAATGAACAGTCCGATGAAAGTTTCATAGAAATAATATCATTTAATAAATTGATTTCAGTTTTGGGAAAAGATTCATTTGTTTGTTTAATTGGCCTCCGTTTTTCTAAAGGTATGCCAGATATTTCATCATAAATGGAATGAAACAAAATATAGACATGATTTTCGGAAAGATCTGCAACTGAAGAAGAGGAAGAGTGAGGGTCTGAAATTTCGGGGCCAATTGGCTCTACGCCGGAAGGGTTTCCATCAGCAAGAGGAAAGAGGTTGACACGGACATCCATTATAAGTTTTGGGTCTGCTGCGAACGTGAGAAACCGGTGTTGTGACTGTGAGATTTGCCTATTGTCCGATTTTAGATGATACCGAGATGTCTGCGATTTTGTCACTGGGTGGATTGAACTGCAATTCATGTGCAAATTTGGAATACAAAATTGACTCGACTGAACTCTCATGTTGTACATTGGATTATGGAAACTTGGAAACACTGCAATACAGGGGCGGATCCAGAGGGGCGGTGCGGGGGTGCGCACCACCCCCACCCCAACCACCCAAAGAGTTAGTATCAAATACCAAATCATTAACTCGTTTAATAAAAATGCTATTACGCGGAAGGTCGTTTAGTATCTTCTATTTCTCAATTACTTCAGTGGCCAAGGTTGGCACAGGTCGCATCAGATAGGTATTGGTTTTCTTAATCCAGGGTAAAGGTTGTATCCCCACAATTGGCATATTCTTATGATGGAGAGGTTGTGATCCAAGGTTGTGATCCAAGGTTGTGTACCATTAACTTGGTCATCGACTCTATAGTTGGCGTTTCGTCAGTAAATCCATAAAAATGACAAAGCTTGGCAGAGTTACCTTTTTATTCAAGTGTATGGACATATAGAAGAAAATCAAAGAAATCTGATCTCGGGTTTCATACTCTGTTTCTCTGTCTTCCCGTCCTGAGATAAAAGAGTAGACATATGATCTATTAATTTACAAGCGAATGTAAAAACAACTAGACTCAATGAATATATAGAAAATAGTAAACGACTACTGCACTGGCAAGTCTTGACCATGGTGCCTCGATTTTACCCTGGTAAACATTTATTTCATTCTGTACCCATGAATTTAATGCTTGACTGGACAGGACCTTGGCATTCGGTGGTAGTCATGGCAGACAACGAATATAACACATGAGGTTAGTAAAAATGGTAACCTTTTTGATACGACGTCACCACACCTGAGATAAGTAGTTGCTACACATTTTTATTTGACTCGACTCGATAATACTGTAGCTATGGTAATAGTCTATTTGCCATGCGCATTTCTCAATGTTCAATGCATGCTCGAAGCGCCCAAACAATGTGTATTCCTATTACCCCGGATATGCCAATCGCAAGCTGAAGATTATAGTCCAATGACTTTATCCCACCGGGTACCCATTTTCTGCTGGGTGAACAGAGGCAATTTTGACTGACTGACTGAGTTTGGTTTTACGCCGCTTTTAGCAATATTCCAGCAACATCACGGCGGGGACACCAGAAATGGGGGCAAATTTGAACTAACTCACTTGCCTAAGGTGATACCACTTCTATCACATGTGCTTCGTTGTGGGCAAAAGTCCTAGAAACTCTCAGGAGTCAAGCTGCCAAACACGGTCACCTATCCAAGGACTCTCCGTGCCCAAAGTGGCTTACTTTCACCTGATTTGTGACCTGAGCTCTATGCACATGACCACACGATATACAATCGCAAGTGGAACCTTGGTGCATATGGAGTATGATAATGTTTCTCACTCACAATTCTAGGAAGGTTTGTATACTTACCTCCATATTCCATTCCGTTATGATGCTGAAGAAATCAAAAAGCATTTGTCACTGCATTAATATATCAACCACGAGTCTAACGTTCTCACATTGGTTTTGAAAAATAGAATTTGCTTTACCCAAACATATACCTAATAATGATGCTGAAGGTAATGCAATGTCCGTCACAAGAAACATGGTAACCTCCTACTTCCAGTGAACAAACATGTAGTCTTGTTCTGACGAAACCACGTGCTGTCTCAGCATAGAAGAGTAGATTGCGCGAATCCGATAATATAAGGAGCACACTGTCAGACCTGGATGTTCGCCTAATCCGACTTCAAGAGCAACTTTGGCATCTGGATGCCTGCTTAAACCGACTTAGGGGGCAACTATGAGATCTGGATGCCCACTTAAACCGACTTCAGGAGCAACAGTGAGACCTAGATGAACGCCTAAACCGACTTAAGGAGCAAATGTGAGACCTGGATGCCCGCCTAAACTGACTCAAGGAGCAACTGTGTGATATCGATGCACGCCTAAACCGACTTCAGGAGCAACTGTGAGACCTGGATGCCTGCCTAAACCGACATAAGGAGCAACTATGTGATATGGATGCCTGCCTAAACCGACTTAAGGAGCAACTGTGAGACCTGGATGCCCACCTAAACTGACTCAAGGAGCAACTGTGTGATATCGATGCACGCCTAAACCGACTTCAGGAGCAACTGTGAGACCTGGATGCCTGCCTAAACCGACATAAGGAGCAACTATGTGATATGGATGCCTGCCTAAACCGACTTAAGGAGCAACTGTGAGACCTGGATGCCCACCTAAACTGACGCAAGGAGCAACTGTGTGATATGGATGCCCGCATAAACTGACTTAAGGAGCAACTGTGTGATATGGATGCCCGCCTAAACCGACTTAAGGACCAACTGTGAGATCTGGATGCCCACCTCAACTGACACAAGGAGCAACTGTGTGATATGAGTGCCCGCCTAAACCGACTTAAGGAGCAACTGTGTGATATGCATGCCAACCTAAACCGACTTAAGGAGCGACTGTGAGATCTGGATGCCCACCTAAACTGACTCAAGGAGCAACTGTGAGATCTGGATGCCCACCTAAACCGACATAAGGAGCAACTGTGAGATCTGGATGCCCGCCTAAACCGACTTAAGGAGCAACTGTGTGATATGGATCCCCACCTAAACTGACTCAAGGAGCAACTGTGTGCTATGGATGCCCGCATAAACCGACTTAAGGAGCAACTGTGAGATCTGGATGCCCACATAAACTGACTCAAGGAGCAACAGTGTCATATGGATGCCCGCCTAAACCGACTTAAGGAGCAACTGTGGCATCTGGATGCCCACCTAAACCGACTCAAGGAGCAACTGTGGGACCTGGATGCCTGCCTAAACCGACTTAAGGAGCAACTGTGAGATCTGGATGCCCACCTAAACCGACATAAGGAGGTACTATGTGATATGGATGCCCGCCTAAACCGACTTCAGGGGCAACTGTGAGACCTAGACGCCCACCTAAACTGACTCAAGGAGCAACTGTGTGATATGGATGCCCACCTAAACCGACATAAGGAGCAACTGTGAGATCTGGATGCCCGCCTAAACCGACTTCAGGGGCAACTGTGAGACCTGGATGTCCGCCTAAACCGACTTAAGGAGCAACTGTGTGATATGGATGCCCACCTAAACTGACTCAAGGAGCAACTGTGTGATATGGTTCCCCACCTAAACTGACTTAAGGAGCAACTGTGTGATCTCGATGCCAGCCTAAACTGATTTAAGGAGCAACTGTGTGATATGGATGCCCGCATAAACCGACTTAAGGAGCAACTGTGAGATCTGGATGCCCACCTAAACCGACACTAGGAGCAACTGTGGGATCTCGATGCCCGCCAGAACCGACTTAAGGAGCCACTGGGAGACCTGGATGCCCGTCTAAACCGATTTAAGGAGCTACTGTGAGACCTAGATGCCCGCCTGAACCGACTTAAGGAGCAACTGGGGGACCTGGATGTCCGCCTAAACCGAATTGAAGAGAACCAATGGCACCTGGATGCCCGCCTAAACCGACTTAAGGAACATATGTGAGACCTGGACGCTCCCCCTAAACCGACTTCAGTAGCAACTGTGACACCTAGATGCCCGCCTAACCCGACTTCAGGAGCAAGTGTGGGATCTGGATGCACACTTAAACTGATCTTAGGAGCAACTGTGAAACCTGGAGGCCCGCCTAAGCCTACCACATGAGCAACTGTGGGATCAGAATGGTCGTGCAAACCGACTTCAGAGGCAGCTGTGGGACCTGGATGCCCGCCCAAACCGACTTAAGGAGCAACTGTGAGACCTAGATGCCAGCCTAAACCGACTTAATGAGTAACTGTTGCATCTGGATGCCAGCCTAAACCGACTCAAGGAGCAACTGTGGGACCTGGATGCCTGCCTAAACAGACTTAAGGATGCAACTGTGGGATCTCGATGCCCGCCAGAACCGACTTAAGGAGCAACTGTGAGACCTAGATGCCAGCCTAAACCGACTTAATGAGTAACTGTTGCATCTGGATGCCAGCCTAAACCGACTTAAGGAGCATCTTGAGATATGGATGCCCGCCTAAACCGACTCCAGGATCAACTGTGGCATCTGGATGCTAGCCTAAACCGACTTAAGGACCAACTGTGGCATCTGGATGCCCGGTTAAAACGATTTATGGAGCAACTGTGGGATACGGATGCCCACCTAAACCGACTTAAGGAGCAACTGGGGGACCTGGATGACCGCCTAAACCGACTTCAGGATAATCTGTGGCATCTGGATGCTCGCCTAAACCGACTTCAGGAGCAACTGTGGCATCTGGATGCCCGCCTAAAACGACTTATGGAGCAACTGTGGGATACGAATGCCCACCTAAACAGATTTAAGGAGCAACAGGGGGACCTGAATGACCGCCTAAACCGACTTCAGGATCAACTGTGGAATCTGGATGCTCGCCTGAACCGACCACATGAACACCTGTGGGATCTGGATGCCCGCCTAAACCGACATAAGGAGCAACTGTGAGATCTGGATGCCCGCCTAAACCGACTTCAGGGGCAACTGTGAGACCTGGATGTCCGCCTAAACCGACTTAAGGAGCAACTGTGTGATATCGATGCCAGCCTAAACTGACTTAAGGAGCAACTGTGTGCTATGGATGCCCGCATAAACCGACTTAAGGAGCAACTGTGAGATCTGGATGCCCACATAAACTGACTCAAGGAGCAACAGTGTCATATAGATGCCCGCCTAAACCGACATAAGGAGCAACTGTGGCATCTGGATGCCCACCTAAACCGACTCAAGGAGCAACTGTGGGACCTGGATGCCTGCCTAAACCGACTTAAGGAGCAACTGTGAGATCTGGATGCCCACCTAAACCGACATAAGGAGGTACTATGTGATATGGATGCCCGCCTAAACCGACTTCAGGGGCAACTGTGAGACCTGGATTCCCACCTAAACTGACTCAAGGAGCAACTGTGTGATATGGATGCCCACCTAAACCGACATAAGGAGCAACTGTGAGATCTGGATGCCCGCCTAAACCGACTTCAGGGGCAACTGTGAGACCTGGATGTCCGCCTAAACCGACTTAAGGAGCAACTGTGTGATATGGATGCCCACCTAAACTGACTCAAGGAGCAACTGTGTGATATGGTTCCCCACCTAAACTGACTTAAGGAGCAACTGTGTGATCTCGATGCCAGCCTAAACTGATTTAAGGAGCAACTGTGTGATATGGATGCCCGCATAAACCGACTTAAGGAGCAACTGTGAGATCTGGATGCCCACCTAAACCGACACTAGGAGCAATTGTGGGACCTGGATGCCTGCCTAAACATACTTAAGGATGCAACTGTGGGATCTCGATGCCCGCCAGAACCGACTTATAGGAGCCACTGGGAGACCTGGATGCCCGTCTAAACCGATTTAAGGAGCTACTGGGAGACCTAGATGCCCGCCTGAACCGACTTAAGGAGCAACTGGGGACCTGGATGTCCGCCTAAACCGAATTGAAGAGAACCAATGGCACCTGGATGCCCGCCTAAACCGACTTAAGGAACATATGTGAGACCTGGACGCCCCCTAAACCGACTTCAGTAGCAACTGTGACACCTAGATGCCCGCCTAACCCGACTTCAGGAGCAAGTGTGGGATCTGGATGCACACTTAAACTGATCTTAGGAGCAACTGTGAAACCTGGAGGCCCGCCTAAGCCTACCACATGAGCAACTGTGGGATCAGAATGGTCGCAAACCGACTTCAGAGGCAGCTGTGGGACCTGGATGCCCGCCCAAACCGACTTAAGGAGCAGCTGTGAGACCTAGATGCCAGCCTAAACCGATTTCATGAGCAACTGTTGCATCTGGATGCCAGCCTAAACCGACTTAAGGAGCAACTTTGGGATCTGGATGCCTGCCTAAACAGACTTAAGGATGCAACTGTGGATCTCGATGGTCGCTTAAGGAGCCACTGGGAACCGACTAAACCGACTTAAGAACATATGTGAGACCTGGACGCCCCCCTAAACCGACTTCAGGAGCAACTGTGAGACCTGGATGCCCGCCTAACCCGACTTCAGGAGCAAGTGTGGATCTGGATGCACGCCTTAAACTGATCTTAGGAGCAGCTGTGAGACCTGGATGCCCGCCTAAACCTACCATATGAGCAACTGTGGGATCTGAATGGTCGCGCAAACCGACTTCAGGAGCAGCTGTGGGACCTGGATGCCCGCCTAAACCGACTTCAGCAGCAACTGTGAGACCTAGATGCCAGCCTAAACCGACATAAATGAGTAACTGTTGCATCTGGATGCCAGCCTAAACCGACTTAAGGAGCATCTTGAGATATGGATGCCCGCCTAAACCGACTCCAGGATCAACTGTGGCATCTGGATGCTAGCCTAAACCGACTTAAGGACCAACTGTGGCATCTGGATGCCCGGTTAAAAACCATTTATGGAGCAACTGTGGGATACGGATGCCCACCTAAACCGACTTAAGGAGCATTTTGATATCTGGAACCGCCTAAGCCGACTTAAGGGGGACCTGGATGACCGCCTAAACCGACTTCAGGATAATCTGTGGCATCTGGATGCTCGCCTAAACCGACTTCAGGAGCAACTGTGGCATCTGGATGCCCGCCTAAAACGACTTATGGAGCAACTGTGGGATACGAATGCCCACCTAAACAGATTTAAGGAGCAACAGGGGGACCTGAATGACCGCCTAAACCGACTTCAGGATCAACTGTGGAATCTGGATGCTCGCCTGAACCGACCACATGAACACCTGTGGGATCTGGATGCCCGCCTAAACCGACTTAAGGAGCATCTTGAGATCTGGATGCCCGCCTAAGCCGACTTAAGGAGCAACTGTTGCACCTGGATGCCCGCCTAAACCGACTTAAGGAGCAATTGTGAGACCTGGATGCCTACCTAAACCGACTTAAGGAGCAACTGTGAGACCTGGAATTCCGCCTAAACCGACCATATGAGCAACTGTGAGATCTGAATGGTCGCGTAAACCGACTTAAGGAGCAGCTCTGGGACCTGGATGACCGCCTAAACCGACTTCAGGAAAAGCTGTGGGACCTAGATGCCCGTCTAAATCGACTTCAGGACCAACTGTGAGACCTGAAATTGCGCCTAAACCGACCATATGAGCAACTGTGGGATCTGAATAGTCGCGTAAACCAACTTCAGGAGCAACTGTGAGACCTGGAATTCCGCCTAAACCGACCATATGAGCAACTGTGAGATCTGAATGGTCGCGTAAACCGACTTAAGGAGCAGCTGTGGCACCGGGTTCACCGCCTAAACCGACTTCAGGAGCAGCTGTGGGATCTAGATGCCCGCCTAAATCGACTTCAGGACCAGCTGTGAGACCTGAAATATGCGCCTGGGATCTGAATGGTCGCGCAAAACCGACTTCAGGAGCAACTGTGGGACCTGGATGCCCGCCTAAACCAACTTCAGGAGCAACTGTGAGACCTGGATGTTACGCCGACCAACTGTGGGATATGGATGCCCTCCTAACCGACTTAAGTAGCAACTGTAAGACCTGGATGCTCACCTAAACCGACTTAAGGAGCAACTGGGGCATCTGGATGCTCGCCTAAACCGACTTAAGGAGCAACTGTGGCATCTGGATGCTCACCTAAACCGACCACATGAGCACTTGTGGGATCTGGATGCCCGCCTATACCGACTTAAGGAGCATTTTGATATCTGGATACCCGCCTAAGCCGACTTAAGGAGCAACTGTTGCACCTGGATGCCCGCCTAAACCGACTTAAGGAGCAATTGTGAGACCTGGATGCCTACCTAAACCGACTTAAGGAGCAACTGTGAGACCTGGAACTCCGCCTAAACCGACTTAAGGAGCAACTGTGAGATCTGAATGGTCGCGTAAACCGACTTAAGGAGCAACTGGGGGACCTGGATGACCACCTAAACCGACCATATGAGCAACTGTGGGATATGAATGGTCGCGTTAACCGACTTAAGGAGCAATTGTGAGACCTGGATGGCTGCCTAAACCGACTTAAGGAGCAACTGTGAGACCTGGAATGCCGCCTAAACCGACCATATGAGCAACTGTGAGATATGAATGGTCGCGTTTACCGACTTAAGGAGCAATTTTGAGACCTGGATGACCGCCTAAACCGACTTAAGGAGCCACTGTGAGACTTCGAATTTCGCCTAAACCGACCATATGAGCAACTGTGGGATCTGAATGGTCGCGTAACCCGACTTAAGGAGCAGCTGTGGGACCTGGATGACCACCTAAACCGACTTCAGGAAAAGCTGTGGGACCTAAAAGCCCATCTAAACCGATTTCAGGAGCAACTGTGAGACCTGGAACTGGGCCTAAACCGACTTAAGGAGCAACTTTGGGATCTGAATGGTCGCGTAAACCGACTTAAGGAGCAACTGTGGGATCTGAATGGTCGCGTAAACCGACTTAAGGACCAGCTGTGGGACCTAAATGCCCGTCTAAACCGACTTCAGGAGCAACTGTGAGACCTGGATGCCTGCCTGTACCGACTTCAGGAGCAACTGTGGGATCTGGATGCCCGCCTTAACTGATCTTAGGAGCAGCTGTGAGACCTGGATGCCCACCTAAACCTACCATATGAGCAACTGTGGGATCTGAATGGTCGCGCAAACCGACTTCAGGAGCAGCTGTGGGACCTGGATGCCCGCCTAAACCGACTTCAGCAGCAACTGTGAGACCTGGATGTCCGCCTACGCCGACATAAGGAGCAACTGTGGGATATGGATGCCCTCCTTAACCGACTTAAGTAGCAACTGTAAGACCTGGATGCTCACCTAAACCGACTTAAGGAGCAACTGGGGCATCTGGATGCTCGCCTAAACCGACTTAAGGAGCAACTGTGGCATCTGGATGCTCACCTAAACCGACCACATGAGCACTTGTGGGATCTGGATGCCCGCCTATACCGACTTAAGGAGCATTTTGATATCTGGATACCCGCCTAAGCCGACTTAAGGAGCAACTGTTGCACCTGGATGCCCGCCTAAACCGACTTAAGGAGCAATTGTGAGACCTGGATGCCTACCTAAACCGACTTAAGGAGCAACTGTGAGACCTGGAACTCCGCCTAAACCGACTTAAGGAGCAACTTTGAGATCTGAATGGTCGCGTAAACCGACTTAAGGAGCAATTGTTAGACCTAGATGCCTGCCTTAACCGACTAAAGAAGCCACTGTGAGACCTGGGATTTCGCCTAAACCGACCATATGAGCAACTGTGGGATCTGAATGGTCTCGTAAACCGACTTAAGGAGCAGCTGTGGGAACTAAATGCCCGTCTAAACCGACTTCAGGAGCAACTGTGAGACCTGGATGTCTGCCTAAACCGACCATATGAGCAGCTGTGAGATCTGAATGGTCGCGTAAACCGATCACGGAGCAGCTGTGGGACCTAAATGCCCGTCTAAACAGACTTCAGGAGCAACTGTGAGACCTGGATGTCCGCCTAAACCGACGTCATGAGCAACTGTGGGATCTGAATGGTCGCGTAAACCGACTTCAGGAGCAACTGTGAGACCTCGATGTCCGCCTAAACCGACTTCAGGATCAACTGTCGGATCTGAATGGTCGCGTAAACCGACTTGAGGAGCAGCTGTGGAACCTGGATGACCACCTAAACCGACCATATGAGCAACTGTGGGATCTGAATGGTCGCGTAACCGACTTACGGAGCAGCTGTGGGACCTAGACGACCACCTAAACCGACTTCAGGAAAAGCTGTGGGACCTAAAAGCCCGCCTAAACCGATTTCAGGAGCAACTGTGAGACCTGGAACTGGGCCTAAACCGACCATATGAGCAACTTTTGGATCTGAATGGTCGCGTAAACCGACTTAAGGAGCAACTGTGGGATCTGAATGGTCGCGTAAACCGACTTAAGGACCAGCTGTGGGACCTAAATGCCCGTCTAAACCGACTTGAGGAGCAACTGTGAGACCTGGATGTCCGCCTAAACCTACCATATGAGCAGCTGTGGGATCTGAATGGTCGCGTAAACCGACTTCAGGAGCAACTGTGGGACCTAAATGCCCGTCTAAACCGACTTCAGGAGCAACTGTGAGACCTGGATGCCTGCCTGTACCGACTTCAGGAGCAACTGTGGGATCTGGATGCCCGCCTTAACTGATCTTAGGAGCAGCTGTGAGACCTGGATGCCCACCTAAACCTACCATTTGAGCAACTGTGGGATCTGAATGGTCGCACAAACCGACTTCAGGAGCAACTGTGGCATCTGGATGCCCGCCTAAAACGACTTATGGAGCAACTGTGGGATACGGATGCCCACCTAAACAGATTTAAGGAGCAACAGGGGGACCTGAATGACCGCCTAAACCGACTTCAGGATCAACTGTGGAATCTGGATGCTCGCCTGAACCGACCACATGAACACCTGTGGGATCTGGATGCCCGCCTAAACCGACCTAAGGAGCATCTTGAGATCTGGATGCCCGCCTAAGCCGACTTAAGGAGCAACTGTGGCACCTGGAAGCCCGCCTAAACCGACTTAAGGAGCAATTGTGAGACCTGGATGCCTACCTAAACCGACTTAAGGAGCAACTGTGAGACCTGGAATTCCGCCTAAACCGACCATATGAGCAACTGTGAGATCTGAATGGTCGCGTAAACCGACTTAAGGAGCAGCTGTGGGACCTAAATGCCCGTCTAAACCGACTTAGGGAGCAACTGTGAGACCTGGATGTCCGCCTAAACCGACCATATGAGCAACTGTGGGATCTGAATGGTTGCGTAAACCGGCTTAAGGAGCAGCTGTGGCACTGGGTTCACCGCCTAAACCGACTTAAGGAGCAGCTGTGGGACCTAGATGCCCGTCTAAATCGACTTCAGGACCAACTGTGAGACCTGGAATTGCGCCTAAACCGACCATATGAGCAACTGTGGGATCTGAATAGTCGCGTAAACCAACTTCAGGAGCAACTGTGAGACCTTGATATTTCTGCCTAAACCGACTTAAGGAGCAATTGTGAGACCTGGATGGCTGCCTAAACCGACTTAAGGAGCAACTGTGAGACCTGGAATGCCGCCTAAACCGACCATATGAGCAACTGTGAGATATGAATGGTCGCGTTAACCGACTTAAGGAGCAATTTTGAGACCTGGATGACCGCCTAAACGAACTTAAGGAGCCACTGTGAGACTTCGAATTTCGCCTAAACCGACCATATGAGCAGCTGTGGGATCTGAATGGTCGCGTAAACCGACTTAAGGAGCAGCTGTGGGACCTGGATGACCACCTAAACCGACCATATGAGCAACTGTGGGATATGAATGGTCGCGTTAACCGACTTAAGGAGCAATTGTGAGACCTGGATGGCTGCCTAAACCGACTTAAGGAGCAACTGTGAGACCTGGAATGCCGCCTAAACCGACCATATGAGCAACTGTGAGATATGAATGGTCGCGTTTACCGACTTAAGGAGCAATTTTGAGACCTGGATGACCGCCTAAACCGACTTAAGGAGCCACTGTGAGACTTCGAATTTCGCCTAAACCGACCATATGAGCAACTGTGGGATCTGAATGGTCGCGTAACCCGACTTAAGGAGCAGCTGTGGGACCTGGATGACCGCCTAAACCGACTTCAGGAAAAGCTGTGGGACCTAAAAGCCCATCTAAACCGATTTCAGGAGCAACTGTGAGACCTGGAACTGGGCCTAAACCGACTTAAGGAGCAACTTTGGGATCTGAATGGTCGCGTAAACCGACTTAAGGAGCAACTGTGGGATCTGAATGGTCGCGTAAACCGACTTAAGGACCAGCTGTGGGACCTAAATGCCCGTCT